TTTCAGCATAATTATTCTAAGATTCATCAGTGTAGGGGCATGCAGTAGTAGCTTATTCTTATTTCTGAGGAGTACCCCACTGTATGATTGTATGACATTTATCCATTCAGCTGTTGATGGATGCGAAGGTTGTTTTGCATCCAAAATAAAGTTGGCTATCACAAATAAAGTTGCAATGAATAGTTGTCTGCAAGTTTTTGTGCAGACACATGCCTTCATATATACCTTGGATGAAATGTACAGTAGGTTGTACGTATTATTGGTTTTCAAGAAGCCTCTAAACTGTTTTTCAAAGTGATTGTGTTGTACTTTCCCACTAGCTTAATTAAGTGAGAGTCCCAGGTCTTCTACATCTTGGCCAGCACTTGATGTGGTTGTACTATGAATTTCAGTGTTTTATAGGGGTGTGTTCTCTCCTTGTAGTTTTAATTTGCATCCCTCTGTTGACTAATCATGTTGAATATCATTAATATCCTGATTCAAAATACATGTATCCTCTTTGGTTAAGTGTCTGCTCAAATATTTTGTTCATTTGTTGTTTTTTGTTATTGTTTATTTTCAAATTAATGGGTTTTTAATGATCTACATGTTCTGACTAGAAGTTCTGATCAGATATATGATTTGTAAACATTTTATCTTTTTATTTCATTCCCTTGGTATCTTCTTTCAAAGAAAAGTTTTCATTTTGATGGAGTCTGTGTTTTTGTGTGTGGTGTGGCTAAAAAACATTTTTTTAACCCAAGGTTATAATGATTTTCTCTTGTCGTTTTCAAGATTTATAGTTGTAGTTTTAACATTTAGTTCTAACCAAAAATGACATCAGTATTTGCCCTGTATACATAATTGTTTGAAGTACTCTCAGTTGTAATGTTTGCTATTCTTTAAATTTAAAACATAGAAAATTGAAGCAATTTGAGATTTAGAATTAGATTTTTGGAAATATGAAACGCCGCTGTTTTCACCAATCAGTCTCTCATAACCTTCCTATTTTTTAGTCATCATTGTAGGGTCGTGCATCTCCATTCCCCCAAGCTGTCAGGCCCTTCTCCCTGACCTCCTAGGGAACCTCCCACCAACGTTACCGCCTCTGTCACTGTAACTAGTGCATGTGCTTGACCTGTCCCCCAAGGACCCAGTGCCCTATGTTTTCCTCAATTCAGCACATTAGTCAGGGGACATTAGGCTATTTACCACCCGGTAGGCAAGAGCAACAACCGCTCAGACTGTGCTGTCTTTCTGTGGCAAGTTCGGTCACCCTACCATCTACCAGCTCCAGCCCAGTCCTTCTCCATTTGCGCCCCAGAGATGTGGTTGTGCAAATGAGCACGCTTGAGTCCCCTGGGGGGGACTTTTCAGCTTCTGAGGAAGTGACAGTGATAACCTGGGCCTGCAAGCTCACTGATCACGTGAAGACACTGAAGCGGCCTGGGAGAGAGGAGACACATGCTGAGTGACCACGAGAAGGGTGTGTTCACACGGTGGGAAAGGCAGGAAAATGTGCTCTTGATACGGAAGTGAAAGGGATCCACTCAACACTCAAACAAAGGCCAGGCGCCCGTCCTGGAGGGCAGGGAAAAGCATGGGCGAGGCACAGAGGGTGCGGGGCGCGGCGACTTCACCCTGGCAGCATCCCAGATTGGCTCACTGGCGGACCGTGACCACTCTGGCAAGCTTAGGGCTGTACACTTCATCCCTCACCATTCCATGGAGTCCCTCCAGAGTGGCAGGCTCCACTCCAAAGGAAAGAATTTCCTAGACAAAAAAAGACCCACCTCCCAAAGAGAGCATGTTTGAAAGTAGTAATTAGGGAGGACTGAAAACCCTCATAGGGAAATAGCTGGAAGGTTCTCATGGAAAACTGAGTTGGACTCATGGAGTGGAAATCAGTCACCTGCGATATTTTAAAATTAAGCTGAGCTGTCTGAGTGTACATTTCAGAAATGCAGCTGGAGCTGCCCAATAAAAATATTTAAAACATTGTCACATTCCCAAACCATCTCTATAAATCAACACCATATTCTTCACTCATCTTTCATACATATGTTCTAAGTTTTAAGGAATTTTATGGAGTTTAAGCAACTTATTTTTAATATCTTGGTGTTAAATGCTAATTTATTTTTCTCTACGAAGAGAACTGTAAGGCAATATCAATACACATGGAGAAAAAACTTATGCAAAATTAAAATTAAGTGCAAAAAAAATGACAAGTTATATACAGAATGATCTAATTTGCTCTTTCATTTGCTCACATAAATGTAAAAATACTAGCTGGGAATATCCATAATATGTTTCTTTGTTTCTTTCTTTGTGAAACAAAAAATATAAGAATGTCTTTCTCCTGTGAAAGCAAACGCTGGCAGTCATTATTTCCTGATCATGCACATATAAATATTTTGGAGATATGTCACGGGATGCTCGGATAGCTAGGGTAGGATCTTGGTATCAGTTCAGTTGCTCAGCCATCTTCGACTCTGTGACCCCATGGGCTGCAGTACGCATGTCCTGTCCATCACCAACTCCCGGAGCTGCTCAAACTCATGTCCATCAAGTCGGCGATAGCATCCAACCATCTCACCCTCTGATCTTGGTACAGGGAGTACCAGATGTCTCTTCAGTGCCCCTGCGTTACCTAAGCTGGCATCATAGAACAGGGAGAACAATGTTTTGAGATACTGTGAAAGACGATTTTTATGAAATCACAGTGGAAGTTTTCTCACTGAATTTGAAAATTTTTGAAAACAGGCCCCTCTGGCATGAAGAGTGATTTTCCTCTAAAATGAAGTATGTGATGGTATCCAAAGGCTGAAATCCCAGACTTTTAACCCAAGTATGAGCAAAAAGCAGTGCTATATACATAAAAGCATGAGTTATTTTATCTAACACCAAACACAAGATCCATAAAAGAAAAAAAAATTCGCTTCATGAAAACTCAAAATTTTGCAAAAAGACACACTGTTAAGCAAATTAAATGGGTAAAATATCTACAAATAATTTATATGACAAAGGACTTATGTACACAATATTATAACATGCTCTCTAAACCCAATAATGAGAAAGCAAACAATCCCATAAAAAATCATCCAATGATTTCAACAGAGGCTTCATTGCAGAAGATAGACAAGAGGAAAGTTAAGACATGAGAAGATGCTACATTTTATTGCTCATCAGGGAAACGCAGATTCAAAGCACCAGGACACACACCACATGCCCTTCAGGACTGCAAGCACGGAGACACACGCACACACCACCTGGATATTAACACCTGGCAGAGGACTGCGTTATAGGAAATGCACGGATCACCAACAAGCCTACATGTTAGAACCCCCAAACATGGCTGGATAGAAAGCAAAATGCACAGCCATTCTAGAGACATTTTGACATTTTCTTACAAAATTAAGCACACACTTTCAGATGGTGTAGCAATGTCGCTTGTATTTACACTAAAGGAATAAAAGCCTAAAGTCATATGAAAACTGGATATGAATTTCTTTAGAAGCCTGACGAGCACTAAAAACTAGAAACCACTTAAGTGTTCTTACATAGGTGAATGGAATACTACTCAGTAATTTAAAAAAACACATTATTAATACATGCAAAATAGGTGAGATTAAGTACATTGTGGTGGGTGAAAGAAGTCAGAGTCAAAAGGTTAGGCTGTATGGCTTCGTTTTTATGGCATTCTGAAAAAGAAAGACTACTGAAAATGGAGGGGAAAATCAGGAGTTCTCTGGGGCTAGGGGTTGATTACGAAGTGTCAGCATGAGGGAATCAGTGGGTTGGGATGATGGGATACCTGGCTTCACGCCTGTCAAAGCTCACACAAAGAAAGGTAACCTGACCACATGCAAACAAAATAATAAATTCATGAGACAGAATGGTGGAAAACTGCACATGATTTGGTCTGCGTTGCCCAGCTGCAGTGCCCGTTTCTCTAAGGAGCATCCTGCCATCTCGAGTCCAAGGACTCTTCAGCTGATTGATTCCCGGTGTCAGTTTCCAGCTCTCAGGGCAATGATGACACTGTTAGTGTCAAAAGCAGCATTCAATTCCACACTGATTGACAAGAAAAAAAAGTAACTGAAATTGCGTGAGGTGGGAGATGTGCACGCTTCAGCCCCAGACAGCAGGGCTCCAGTGGGGGCTGCGTCTCCAATGGGGAAGCGGACGGCCATCAGGGGCCCTGTGCAGACGGGCAGGACCTCTACAGGGTGGGGCTCGTTCCACCCACTCTCGATGCCCTCCTCTTTTTCACTCTGGCCCGACGCCCCACCCCAGGAGGCCACAGCTCCACCCCATCACACACTGACCCGACATCCCGGGCCCACGAAGTCCATCTTCCAGGAGGCAGATGCCCCCGGGCACTGGGATAAGAGGGAATGTGGCCGGTGGCTCTGCTTCCCAGGCGACGACCGTTAAGTGTTCTGGAATTTTCCACATCTCAGATGCTGCTGATGCTGATGCAATCTGGTTACTCAAGAAAAATGACCTCACACGCTTGTCAGCTGTTTTCTCTTATTTGTGTGGCTCTGAAGTGATGACTAACACCTGACCCCTGACCCATGGGCAGGCCACGGTGACCCTTTGGGTGATTTGTGACTGCACCCCACAACAAGGAAGAGAAGTTACCGGGCAGGCCCAGGAATCGGGCTTGGGAACTGCCCTACCCCACCATGCCCTCCCCAGAATAGGGCTGTTTACCTTCAAGGGCTTGGCCAAAATCAAGAGTCATGATCCCGCCAGTCTCCCAACAAGGGGGGCCTCCTTTCACAGGGTCCCGGCTTCCTCTGTGAGCTGAGCGGCATCTGAGCAGGTGAGGGGTAGTGTCACGGGGTGTCGTGGGCGAGAAGCTGACTGCAGATCCAAGGGGGACAGCACAACAGAAGGACTCGCTGCTCAGAAGCAGTCGGCAATCAACTCGGGACGTTTGACAAAGTCTGACTGCCTCTACCGGCCCTGGGTTACCAGGCGGTAAGCGTGCTGGACAAGTCAGCCTGGCATACCTGTGGACCAGCGGCTCTCCCTCAGACAGTCGTCCCCTCTGAGCACTTGTAGCCGCTGCGTGTGAGGCACTTGCAGAGCGCTGAGCACAGGAGCAACAGGCAGCGTCCGAAGTGAATTAAAACAGAAGACATGGCTCGCCATGACTAGACCTGCTAGAGACGCCACGGGGGCACAGACGGGCCCCAAACTGAGCCAATGGGGCGCAGGCAGGGGAGGACCTGACCAGGCAGGCGGGGCTCCGGGAGGAAAGGCGAGTCAGTCCCTGAACAGCAGGCGTGAGTTGCCTGGAACTGGGGTAGATCCCACAGTTTGGGTCTTCTAGCCAACGATCATCCCAAACAGATCATCACATATGGCAAATATCACACACAAAGGCCTTCTCCCGACATTCGCCTGGAACGCCAGCTGTTCCTCCCCAGCCAAGCATGCTGCTTCTCAGAGGCCTTGAGGAACCTCTCCTGTGGACCGAGGGATCAGCTGCCGTCCCTGAAGGACAGTGTAGGCGTGCGTCACGACGGACGCAAGGGAGGTGCTCTTTCTGCTCACGAGTCCTTTGTGATCCATGTCTGCAAACCCACGCTGAAGGCAAACAGAACAGTGTACTTGGGTTGAGTGCAACTAACCTGCTAATTCACCGTGTTTGCATGCTTCACACCCCTTTTCCTAACCCAGCCTGCCCGTATGTATTTTTTCTTACTCCAAGGCCTTCAAATGTCACTACCTACAAAACTATTGAACCACAAAACTACAAATACTAGTTTTGTAAAGCCATCCACAAAACTATTTATGAACATAAGCGTAAATTTTTAAATAAAGTCTAAGCAGTCCTAGAATGTTAGCCTTAAATGTCTGTGAGATGAAGTAGCTTCTCTATAGAATTCCATTTTAATTCAGGAAATATTTTTGCAGTTTGTCCTGCTGTGTTCTTTGGAGAAACAATAAAAGCCATCAAGCATAATTCGGACTTTTTTTAGTAATGTGTAATGTGTAAATATATGTTAATATAATATGTTAACATAAATATGTGTTAATTTTAAAACTGAATTGGTGCGTGGTTGGTAAACAATAAAAGCACAGTCAGCACGTGGCTGAGACTGTGGAATCCTGGCTGAGGCCATGTCATGCTGAATAAGCTCTCTCTTGGATAGCTTTCTAAGCCACATAAGTAAATAATCAGCAATTTTAAAATATATACCGTGCTTATCCCATTTGAAAATGATACGCAAAATCATGGAACATGAACAAAGAAATAAGTCTTAAGCTACATCCGTAGGAACAAAGATCCCAAGCTCGTATTTTATGGTGATTGTGGTCTCTGAAATACTTCAGAATCACTGAGACAAACAACCCAAACTGGTTTCCAAACCCAAATCTGAATAGCAGATTCTTCTCCGTAAAGACAGACATTCTATTTTGTTCCTGGGCCACTGACCGCTGGTGCCTAGAGGAGCTCTGCACACAGCACGGAGCCTCACTGGAGAGGCGGGCAACAGGTACCAACCCTTTCAGGGGCAGGAGGCGGTGTTTCTGAAGAAGAAACATGTGCCTTCTGTGTTGGGCCCAAGTACAAATCCCTGGGATTCTTCACCCCAGGAAGTGAATGCAAACCCTGTAATGAAAGCAATGTGGCCGTGGGGGCAGAGATACCCAACCACCAGCAGCAGCTCACTTCTTCAACATCTTTGGCAGAAACTGATACGTAAACAGGAGATTTTTTAAAGCAACTGGCCTCAGAGTTGTTTATTTCATTCTCACAAAAGTGGAAGGATCATCTGTTTCATCAAGACACAAAGGAATAATTTCCTCCTGAAATGAAGTAACAAAGACGCACTATTCACCGTGGCGGGAGCAGCCTGGCTTCCCTCATTTCCTGCCTTCACCACTGTCGGTCCACGTGGCTGCAGGAGGGTCTGGGCTCCTGGCGGGGCGTCAAGACAGCACATGGTGCAGCTCAGTAGACGCTTCTCTCTGAATCCGACCAAGAAAGGAGAGGAAGTTCAGATTTAGAGAGGAGGTGGTCGACTTAACTTCCAAATTTAAATCTTCAATGTAACCTACAGCTCTCCCTGCTTTCATCATCAGAAATAATGATAGTCATTACACAGGAAGTCCCCGGGTCTGTCTCCACACGGACAGACGTATCCCTGGGCTCTGCTCAGCGTCCTTTCCCAGACCCACAGCTTTTCCTTCTTCCTGTGTAAACACAGCCTCTGCTCCCCTAGCACACCATCGGGTTGGGTGCATCTTCCCAGCTCCAAGGTCTCAAGGCAAGGCCACGTGACACCCTTGCCTTGTTCTCTCTCAGCAGACTCCAGGCAACTAGTCATAACGTCTTAGAGCACCTACCACCTAAACCTGCCTGCAGGAGACCCGGTTTGATCCTTGGGTCCGGAAGGTCCCCTGAAGAAGGGAATGTATTCTTGTATTCTTGCCTGGAGAATCCCATGGACAGAGGAGCCTGGTGGGCTAAAGTCCATGGAATCACAAAGAGTCAGACATGACTGAGCAACTAAGACATTAACACCACTTCTCTCAAAACCAGCCCCATCCCTCCAGGATCATATGCATCCAGCAGTTCAGGCCATGGGAACCGAGAGAGCCGAGGATGAGCGCCAGCAGGAGGAGGGAGGAGTGCAGAGGTGGACGCAGAGTCGAGCGGCAACCTGCTGGAGGACCAGGCAGAGCCGCTTCTAAACAAGTGCGTGGGCACTGGCCCTAAGGTGGCCACGGTGCTGGAGTCAGCACGGTCCACCTGGGCCAAACTTTCTCAGCTTTTCCTGACCTCAGTGGGCATCTTTCTTTTGAACTCTGTCAAGTATTGACTTATCTTTATTTTATCAATGTTTGTTTCTGGAGTTATCTGTTATTTTGTTTGAAACACGCTCTTTTCCTTCATTCATCTCCACTCTGCACATTAGATTAAAACAGCCATTTCTCCCAGTCTTCACTAATGTAGGAGATGAACCTTGATGATCATCCTGACTTGAGCTCCTAGCTGCTTCTCAAACTTTTGGGATGGTCCAGGCCACTTTATTTGTTCTCAGAGGTCCCAGCAGACCTGCTGTGCGTGCTAAGTCGCTTCAGTCTTGTCTCTCTTTGCAACCCCATAGACTGTAGCCCACCAGGCTCCTTTCCATGGGATTCTCCAGGCAAGAGCACTGGAGTGGGTTGCCATGCCCTCCTCCGGGGGATCTTCCCGACTCAGGGATCGAACCCTGGTCTCTTATGTCTCCTGCATTTGCAGGGTTTTTTTGGTTTTTTTTTTTTTTTAACCACTAGAGCCACCTGGGAATCCCCCCAGTTGATCTGTCAGTGCCCAAAAGGGAGTGTCACGCTCAACAGTAGATACAGGCTGACTGGGGAGCCAGACCCTCAGTCTTCATTAGCTGGGAAAGTACACAGACAAGCCCCTTCCAGAGAGAAACCAGGAGGTAGGTGTCTCTGTGCGAGGCTCTGAGGTGTGGCTATGCTGGTGGGGGTGGGGGGGGTGGAAGGACATGCCGCTGCTTCCACAGCAAACTGCTGCTTTGTTTCCCGAAGGCCTATGGGACTTCTTAACAGGATCCCCATTGGCCGTCAGAGCCAGAGGACCTGGAGACTCATCGCTCAGGCTACATCTGGGATGCAGATGTGTGACAAGTTCCTCCCGGGGGGATTCTGATGACTTGGACAGGGGGACAGGGAGAAGATGAGTGAGGTGTCTGCAGTCTCCCCAGTCTCTAGGGTGCTCAGTTAGAAGCTGTGCTTCAGGCAGTAGCTTTCCAAATGAGCAGATGGGCCTCTTCTAGGGAGAGAGAAGAAGGTCTGGTTCTTCCTGTCCCACCCCCAGTCCCACCGGGAACCCTAGGGGGACAGCCGTGGCCATGCCCATTAACATAAGAAGCAGCAGAAGGATGTATTTCAGGCAAAAGAACAAGATACTCTCCAATCACATAGGCCATTCTTTGTTTGCTGTTGCTGGTGGGTCTTGTGGATACAACCTGTTGTCTTTCTGAGTTATGTGTTCTGAAGTCCTTTTAATTGGTACTACATTGCATCTACAGACCAAATTGGAAAAAACTGATATGTTGACAATATTGAGCTTTATTTCCATGAAAATGGATTATATCTTCATTTATTTAGTTCTTTGATTTCATTCAACTAAATTCTGTAGTTTTCCTTATATAAATCTTGTACATAATTTGTTAGACATATACCTAAGCACTTCACTTATGGAGAATGCTACCAAAAATAGCATCATGCTTTAAATTTCAAATTCTTCTCATTCACTTCTGGTATGTATAAAAGGGAAAGCAATGGGCATGTATCCTGAAGACTCACTATAATAATTCATTAATCCATTCTTTTGGATTTTCTACATAGAAACTCATGTCACATGTGAAAAAAAAGAGAGTTTTATTATTTTTTCCAGTCTATATACCTTTTCCTTTTTATTGATTTAACTAGAACTTCCAGTACAGTATTGAAAAGGAACAGTAATAGAGTACATGATTACTGAACTTAGTGGGAAAGATATGAGTTAATATGTTAGATATAGGTGTTCTATAGATCTGGACTGCATTATTATTGCTAAATAGAGGCCGTGTTTATTTTTTGATGTGATCTTCTTAGCATCTTGCATTTCTGTGGGGCCATTTGCCTTCAGCCTGCAGAACTTCCTAAAATAATCCTCTAGTGAAGGTCTGCTGCTGGCAAATTCCTTTGGTATTCGTCTAAAAAATACTATTTTTACCTTTACTTTTGAAGAATACTTCACTATTTTTTCTTTGATAATTTTAATTATTGTGTTCCACTGTTTCCTAGAAGGTACCGTGTGTGTGTGTGTGTGTGTGTGTCTTATTCTTGCTCATTAAGGGTGGTGTCTTTTAGCCTTCCTCCTGTAGTAAGTTCTTTTTTAAATTTGTCCTTAGTTTTCAAAATCCTTGTAGTAATGTAACTAGGTGTGACTCCTTTCTATTTCTCCTCTCTGATATTCATAATTCTTATTCAATCTATGAAATGATGGATTTCACCACTTTGGGAAAATACTTGGCTACTGGCTGCTTAAATATTTTTTGCCACATTTTCTCTCTCTTTCCCTCTTGGATCTCCAGTTACTATATTTTAAACTTTTCTCTATTTCTCCTGGGCTCTTTTGGTATACTTTCTACTTTGGGAGGGGTCTCTCTTTCTTGATATTTTCTCAATCCTATCTTTCAGCAAACCAATCCTCTCTTCAACTCTATCTCACCGCTATTATATTCATCTATTGAGTTCTTTATTTTAGCTATTATATTTTCATTCTATAATTTTACATTTTATAATTTTATAAGTTTACAGATTTTAGTCTTTCATGTAGTTCTTCAAAATGTCATCTGGTTTTCTATACACATTAATTATGTTTATTTAAAGTCTCCGGTTTTATACTAAATTAACAGTGGATTTGCTTATATTGAATTCTTTTTTAACTCTTTTCTATTGGAATTCTTTCCCTACTATACCTGGTAAATTTTGTTTGAATGTTGATTATAGCTTGTGAAAAATTACAGAAGCCCTGAAGAGTGTTGCCTTACTTCAGAGAAGTGCTCATTTTCTCCTGGCAGTTGATCCATAGTGACTGCCAACAGCGGCAGCCTGGCCAGGACTGAGATGACTCAAAGCCCTGGGAGTCCTAGGTGTCGTTGCAGGGGAAGTGCCCGGAGTGCCCCCCGCGCCCCTCCCCGGCCTTTCTGCTCTGCTCCTGAGGGAAGCAGCATCATACCCTCTGCTGCCGGGAACGACCCACCACCTGCGCTCCGTCTTCTGTCTCCACAGCAGGTTCACGGGAAAGGTAAGAGCACACACCTCCCTGTTCACATCGCGCCCCAGAGGCTCCTGTCTCATCTACGGAGGAGGAAAGGGCGGCCCAGGGTGACCGCCTGTCGCCAAGGGTCCCCAAAGATGCCGGACTCCGACATTCTCGCACTTCACCGCTTATTCGCAGTGGGTCTGTGTGACCAGCAGACGGGGCACAGACGAGGTCACTCCTGAGATCAGGTTATGGCAGCCTTGTCTGGCTCTTGAACAACTTGCTGGGTGAGAGGCCGCCATGCTGAGAGGCAGTTCCACGTGAGGCCACGCGAGCGGAAGCTGAGACCTTCAACCTCCAGCACGTGCCGGTGGAGGACAGGCCTCCAGTCCCAGCAGGCCGGACCGCAGCTTCCGCCGACACCCTGGCTGCAGCCTGCAAGGGACGATGAGGGAACCACCCGACCAGGGATGACGCTTGAGTGGACAGAGGGAGCTGCCCGCCGCACCCTCGGAGCCACCGCCGAGGCACACAGGGCGGTGCTGGAATCCGGATGGACGCCGAGGCCCCGCCTCCTCCTCAGCCGCCCCTGTGGAGACCCCAGGCCCCGCCTCCTCCTCAGCCTCCCCCTGTGGAGACCCCAGGCCCCGCCTCCTCCTGTGGAGACCCCAGGCCTCGCCTCCTCCTCAGCCTCCTCCTGTGGAGACCCCAGGCCCCGCCTCCTCCTCAGCCTCCCCCTGTGGAGACCCCAGGCCCCGCCTCCTCCTCAGCCTCCCCCTGTGGAGACCCCAGGCCTCGCCTCCTCCTCAGCCTCCCCCTGTGGAGACCCCAAGCCCCGCCTCCTCCTCAGCCTCCTCCTGTGGAGACCCCAGGCCCCGCCTCCTCCTCAGCCTCCTCCTGTGGAGACCCCAGGCCCCGCCTCCTCCTCAGCCTCCCCCTGTGGAGACCCCAGGCCCCGCCTCCTCCTGTGGAGACCCCAGGCCTCGCCTCCTCCTCAGCCTCCTCCTGTGGAGACCCCAGGCCCCGCCTCCTCCTCAGCCTCCCCCTGTGGAGACCCCAGGCCCCGCCTCCTCCTCAGCCTCCCCCTGTGGAGACCCCAGGCCTCGCCTCCTCCTCAGCCTCCCCCTGTGGAGACCCCAAGCCCCGCCTCCTCCTCAGCCTCCTCCTGTGGAGACCCCAGGCCCCGCCTCCTCCTCAGCCTCCTCCTGTGGAGACCCCAGGCCCCGCCTCCTCCTCAGCCTCCCCCTGTGGAGACCCCAAGCCCCGCCTCCTCCTCAGCCTCCTCCTGTGGAGACCCCAAGCCCCGCCTCCTCCTCAGCCTCCTCCTGTGGAGACCCCAAGCCCCGCCTCCTCCTCAGCCTCCCCCTGTGGAGACCCCAGGCCCCGCCTCCTCCTGTGGAGACCCCAAGCCCCGCCTCCTCCTCAGCCTCCTCCTGTGGAGACCCCAAGCCCCGCCTCCTCCTCAGCCTCCTCCTGTGGAGACCCCAGGCCCCGCCTCCTCCTCAGCCTCCCCCTGTGGAGACCCCAGGCCTCGCCTCCTCCTCAGCCTCCTCCTGTGGAGACCCCGAGGTCCCGCCTCCTGAGGCAGCCCTGCCGGAGCCCCGACCTGAGTCCCGAGGCCTTTCTGAGCCATTCCCAGACTACTGAGGGACAGGTGTGACTCCACTTCTGGAGGACGCTTGGACCTCCAGGAAGGGCGCAGCAGGGGAGACCGCAGCCCCCCACCTCCTCCGGTCCCCCCAGCACCGCCTGCCCCCGGGTCTCCCCTGAGGAGCAGCCCCTCCCCTGAAGATCCCTCAGAGACGATCAGAAACAATGGCTTTTTGTTACAAGGTGGCCATGGCCATGCATGGTGTGTTCCTTCTGGTTTCTTCTGCTTTGGTTTTAGTTTTATTTTTTTTAAACAAAAGCATTTCTCACATACTAAGTTCTCATACTGTAATTCCTGGAAATCATTCTGGAGTCAAAGAATTTTTGTCTGTTAAGAAAATAAAAAAGAACGCTAGGAGACTTCCTGCTGCCCTGGGACCTGGGCCAGCAGACGGGGGTTTCAGCCTTCTCCTGCCAGGAGTTGCAGCGACGTGGCTGCCGCCAGAGACCAGGGGACTGAGAGCCAAGGGCAGGCGCCCACCAGGCCAGGGCTCAGACAGCCCTGCTCCCCTGGACCTTCTCTGGGCCTCCGAGAAGAAAGGAGAGAAACACAGCCATCACTTAACCATGGGTAGCTACATAAACCCGAACACAGGCAGTGGACAGTGGAAATCACAAGCTAAGCAATGAAGTTGGTTTGTAGCATTGCAAGCCTGGTGATGACCCATCACAACAGTTCTGCTGACCCTCTCATAAGGCAGCCTGGAAGTATTCTCATGAGGGACAGATACCTGGCAATGTTCCTCTGGGACTTTTACTGATCAAAAGCCAGGGGCCATGCTGGAGATTCTTCATGCCTTGTGCTTCCTAGGAATTTGTAGATGGTCCCCGGGGGTCAGGGAGTTAGAAACCCCCAGGTTCACTGACACTGTCAAGGCCCCCCCAGGAATGTGATGGGGGGTGCCTCGCCTCCCTTCTGGCTGCTGTAAGGAATATGTGACCACGCAAACTTTGAGAGAAATCCACCAAATTCCAGTCATGGGTGCTGGAAGTTCAGAGTTGAATCATGACACAGAAGTTTGGAAGTTGCTCAGCAATTAACATTATTTTTTGTGAAATTCCCACAATACTGATGGGTTTTCCCTGAAGTCCACCAACCTCCCGGAACCCACAGTGTCTCCGGGAGTTGAGGTCCCGGCCCTTCCTTTGTCTCATCCCTCCCTTCAGCAGTTTTCCCGCTTCTGCTTATCTCAGATGAGCATCGGGCCAGCCCCGCTGTGCCAAGCAGACGCTTGTAACATCACAGAAGAAACAGACCACCACCCAGAGCCCTGCCTCCCCGGGAGAGCCTATATGAGTCACTCCCAAGGAAAAGAAGCTTGCTGTGGTCTAGGCCCTGGATGTGACAGCATCCTCCAAGGCCCATAATGAGGCCGGCACCTCTATCTCCCAGATCCCAAGATGGAGAGACAGAGGTCCTGTTACCCAGAGTCACAGGATGGAGCGGGAGGACGGGATGCAGATCCAGGCCTGGTCCACACCGAGCCGGGCAGGTGGGGCTGCCGGTGCCAGCTCCAGGCAGCCATGGGACATGGCTCTTCCTGCATCATCGGCTGGAGAAGGGAGGTCCAGGCCACCTCACACTGTCAGGTCCAAAGGGCTGCGTGTGCTCACCTGGGGCAGAGATCTGAGGAGCCCCACTCTCCAAACCCAAGGCCGTCTGAACACTGGTTTGAACAATAGACTCTGGGGTGTGATCAGTCACCCAAACTGAATGGGGTTCTGGTCCACTGCCCTGAAGGCAGTGACAGGAGGGCCCCCTTAACAAAGCCCCCAGACCCACGGCTTAGACAGCAGGCCACCTGGAGGCCAGATGTCCAAGATCAAGGCATCAACAGGTGGGCTTTGGTGAGGACTCTCTCCCTGACCTGTGGATGGTCTGCACATGGCCTGTCTTCTGTGCACTTTCCAAAGTCAAACTTGCCCCCCAAAAAGATCATAGTCACTGTTTGGTGGTCTGCTGCTGGTCTGATCCACTCCAGTTTTCTGAATCCCAGGAGAACCATTATATCTGAGACATATGCTCAGCAAATCAATGAGATGCTCCAAAAACTGCAATGCCTGCAGCCCGTGTTGGTAAATAGAAAGGGCTAGTTCTTCTCCACAGCAATGCCTGACTGCACATCGCACAACCAATGTTTCAAAAGTTGAACGAACTGGGCTATGAAGTTTTGCCTCATCAACCACATTCACCTGACCTCTTGCCAACCACTTCTTCAACCGTCTCAAGGATTTTTGCAGAGAAAAGTCTTTTTGCTTCCACAACCAGCAAGAGGCAGAAAATGTGACCCTGTGACCTGTCCCTGTCTCGGTCTTGAGCAAATGCCTCGCCAGTGTCCTAGGCCCCCCACCCGGTCAACCCATGGAGCTCTGCTGGCTCTCCAGACATCACTGTTCTTCTGGGTTTTTCCGTTCAGCAGGCGCACACGCTGTCATCTGCCCCAATTAAAGCAATCCAAACAAGTAGGCAGAACCCTTCTCTGGACTGCACTCTCCTCAGCTCTGGTCTCCTTGAGTAGCTCTACTCCCCACCCTCCCCGCCCATACCTGAAGGTCACCCTCCCTTCCTGGGGGCGTGGGGAGAGGGGAGAGCCTCAGTAATGGAGTTTAAAAGAGCACCTGCTCAGAAATTCCTGAGATTTGTGACTTAGGCTTGCTTAAGGTTCAGGTTGTTTGCAAAAAGTCATAGCCTTGCTCACTTAAAATCTTATCTCTGTTTCTTTCGTCTGTATTTAAAAATAAGTAGAAAAAAACTGATTCTGGGCCCGGCTCCGTGCAGTGTGCCCCCCGACCCCACCCCGGACCCGTAAGATAATCAGTGTTAATACGGAAAACGGAGTGGTCACTGAGGAAGCGGTGTGGCCTACAGCTTCATCAGGACGGACCCTCCCAAGAAGCAGGGGGCAGCCTGGCACCCAGGCTGCCCCGACAGGCAGGTAGACATCTAAGAAGAGGGCCAGGCTCACCTTTGACCTCCTGTCATGCAGTTTAGCTCCTGAGAGGTTCTCGGCTTCTACCTTTGCTCATCTTTAAAAATAAATAAAAATGGATTTCTTGCTTAGGAAACTACCTATGAATGAAAACAAAGCCTGCTTAGATTTTAGAAACAGGCATTTGAAATTAATTATTTTTTTCTTTTTAATGTTATATGTACACAAAGAGCTTTGATTACTTTAAAAAATAACCTTATCAATATAAATGTGTTAATGAGAAGACTCTAAAAATACATGTTCTCTTACAAATCCAGAGATAACTTACCAAATGCTTATTTCATGAGTAGTTTGTCAATTAACAGGGACTAAACTCCCCTCTATTCGTGGAAATGTCCACAGAGGCTGGGTTAAGGCTGGCGCCCCCCTGCCAGCGTCCTTCCGTCCTGACCCAGGGCTGTGGCTCACAGTGTCAGCCAGGATGAGTGGGTGTCACATCCATGTTTCTCCACGTCGGGCTCACTTTTTCCTGCCAAAGCATCTTCATTGGCTGATTCTATCGGGCTCTCAGGTTCTCTGGCTTTCTGAGCTCAGTTCTTCAAAGATGCAGATTGAGCCATTGGAATGCTTTTCATTGTGTGATTGTACCCAGAGTTCATGGAAAATAAATTGTCTAAAGCAATGCCAGTTCTCTTTGTTTATTTACAGTTTAGGTGGTTAAAGAGAGTGGGATCATTTCACTAGTGCCTTCAGACATAAACCTTTTCTCTTAAAAAAAGAAAACCCAAAAAACAAAAATCCCTGTGTATTCTTTGTGCTTTATTTCTTTGTCCTCAACTTAAAATTTGAAAAATGTTAACACGTGGAGGCTGGTTGTTGGGATGGCATTCTCGTTGCAATGACCCGTGTGCTGTTGTTGCAGAAACCAGTACTCAAGAAACCGAACACCACACTCGGAGAGCTGGAGAGCTCGGGTTTATTACGCCGGCAGGCCCAGAGGAGTCGACACTCTAAGCTCTGAGCCCGAACAAAGGGGTTACAGAGTTTTTATAGACAGACTGTAGTGGGCAACACTAGCGGTTAACAGGCTGGTTGAAACTAAGGGGTTTCACACGGGTGGGAACAGCAGGCAAGAGGGGGAGGGGGATGCCTGACCCTTACATGACACGCGTGATTAAGCGGGTTTGCAGGGGCTGGGCAATTCCAAAGAGCAGGACAAGGGTGAGTGAGATAAGCTCCAGTTCCTAACACTGTAAATCCCCACTTTCTGAGACTACGTGACCTACGTGAGCCAGACTTTGCAAGGAGCAAGCTGAGTTACACAGGCAGAAGGGGCAGGAGGTGATGTAAAATTTTAACTTTTCCTCTTTGCTGTGCTCACAGGGGGCCCTCCTTCACCATGAAGGAGGTCCAGGACCACACCTTTGAATCCATTTAAAGAGTAAGGGCTCCTCCTGTGCGGGTGGCCTGGGTCCTGGTTGGTAGCACCTATGAACAGCAGCCGACTATACCCTACAAAGGACTTGAGGAGGCGGTTTCATGTGTCAGCTTAACTGGTCTCAGGGACTCCCCAGCTGCTGGCTAGACAGGATCCTGGGCGTGTCTAGGAGATGATCCTGTGAATCCTTGAACTCAGTGAGCAGATGGCCCTGCCTGGGGCAGGAGGGCCTCATCAAACATGATAAGGGCCCAAGAGGACAAAAAGGGAAAGGAAAGGCAAATTCCTCCCTCCCCTCGAGCAAGGCATCCACCTTCTCCCACCTCAGACATCAGCTCTCCTGGTCCTCAGGCCTCCACCTTGGACTGAATGGCACCACCAGCCGTCCCAGGCCCCAGCTGTGGGAGGCAGATTGTGAGCCAGCTCCTACAATGAATCTCCTGAAATCAAGCATTTCATTTAAAAAAGAGAGAGAGAGATGATCAGTAAGAAAATAAAAATGCATCTACTTAGCTTCATTTCCTGAAAAACAAATACTGAAACTATGTGCAGAAATGAAAACAAACTTGTTCTTTTGCCCTTATGATTCCAGTCTGGCTGAAGAGCAGAGGGAAGATCATTTTCTTTCCATCTATCATCTGTCTGTTATCTATCTTCTTCCATCTGTCTATCATTCTGCCCATCATATCTGAGTTGTTGTTATTGTTCAGTTGCTCAGTCCAGCTCTTTGAGACCTCACGGAATGCAGCACGCCAGGCTTCCTGTCCTTCAGTACTTCCCGGAGTTTGCTCAAACTCATGTCCACTGAGTCAGTGATGCCATCCAACCATCATATCTGTTTAACCACCATCTATCAATCTATGCACCATCTATCCACCTATCCTCTATCCAATATCAACTGTTTATACATCATCTATCATCTGTCATATATCTATCTATCATCTATTATCTATCATCTGTCTGTCCACCTATCTATCATCTCTCATCCATCTATCATCTGTCTAACCACCCATCTAAAGTAACTTGAGGAGATCACATAGCCTCCTATGTGCAGGCAAGAGCAGCACAGTCAGGAAGGGTTCAGAAGGTGGTGGGACAGGTCAGGCCTGAGGCACCTGCACATAGAGAGCCTGCAAACCACCCAGTGCTCAGGGGCCAGTGCAGCTTCATCCACCCCCGGTGACGTGTCCAGTTGGATTCTCGGTGGCCTGGCAAGTTGGCAGGCTGGTGGTTAAAAGACAGCACAGCACTGCTTCCTCCCTGTGGTCTGACCCCTCCCCATGAAAGAGGGTCTGTCTTCTAAAATGAACCAAGGAAGACCTGTGCTTCTGGGACCAGGGACTAGCCCTGCATGAGACCAGGCCTGGGACACAAGAGAAACTCCAGCTGGGTCTTCAGGGCCCTCAACCCCTTTCCCTCCTACAGGCTTCAGGTCCTCAGGCAGAGCTGCAGGTCCCAGTGACCTGGGTCACCCAGAGGAGGTGTGAGTCCCGCCCTTCCGAATCTTGACCACTGTCCAGTCCCAAAGGACAGCTCTAGGGTCGGGATGTGTAAAGCAGCGGGGAGGAGGGCAGGCCCTAGCTAGGGTCTCCTGCCAGTACCGTGCCTGGCACTTACTTGGCCACCGTCCATCAGAAGAGCTCTTACCCACCACACTGGACACACAGGGTCCTCGGTGAAAAGCTGAGCAGATGTGGCTCCTGAAAACCACCCGCACCCTCTGGTCTTCCCCGGTGGTCCCATCTGCATGGCTGAAGAGCCCCGTCTGCTGAAATGCCCCCTGCTGGCCTGTCTGTGGGTCTCCCGGCTGTGAGCCCTCCAGGTCACCCAGGGTGACATCAGCAGTCTCTGTAGGAACCCAGCCCGCAGGGACGTGTGTGATGGTTAACTCGCGCCACGTATGTTCACAAAACAAAGCTGAAGTCCGTGTCCAATGTGGGGGCTCCCGTGGGTCCCCCAGAGCTGCCGCTGGTCCACACTATCTCTACAAGAGCCAGGAACGTCTGCCATGAGGGGCTGCGATGGCTGAATCGGGCTTGCCCCTGGACAGGTCAGGAGCCTGGGCACGATGGCAAAGTCCTGGAGAGACGAGAAGAGGGGACGACAGTTGATGGTGATGCCACCACCAGCAGGTCAGGGGTGTGTGTGGACAGCACGGCCGTAAAGCGCGGTGTGCTGAGGGTCCACCGCCTGCAGGCTCCACGAGAACCTCTTCACGCAGATTTTCTCAGGCCCCACGGTCACCCCGTCTTCCTCGGTGAAGACCTGAACTCAGGATGTGGGGAGCTTACTGAAGACCCCACACTGGCCAGAGCATGACCCCCACGGGGAAGGCCTCCTCCAGGGCCAGTGGGGAGCTGCCCAGCTTCATCTCTGCACCTCGACGGGGCCCCATGAGGACCCGGCGCAGGCAGGACGTGACGTCTTGGCGCCTTGGCTTCTGGGAGTTAGCGAGAGGCAGGGCCGGGTTCACAAGGCAGGGACACAACCGCAGCCGTGTGCAGGAGCCGCTTCGGAGCGGAGTGGAGGAGGCCCACAGGCCCGGGGGTGCAGGGCATGGGCATGCAGACCCCAGCGTCAGGGAGCTGGTCCCTCCGAGCAGCAGCGTTCCAGGCCCCAGATTCAACCAGGAGGAGACCCTCGTCACGTGCTGGGAAAGAATGTGCTCTGGGGGGATGTCGGCTGGCCCCTGGGCCTGTGTGAAGTAGGCCTTGGCTTTGTCGAGCAGGACACAAGGTCCACCAGGGCCACGGCCAGGGGCCTGGAGAGGAGGGGCGGCGGGCCCAGCCCCAGTGTGGGTTCTGGCCTTCGAGCCCCGAGCAGGCCGGGGCTCTGGGGGGCTGACCCGCCTTTCCAGGCAGCCTCGGGGCTCGGGCTGCGACAGCCAGCAGTGTGCCCCTCCTTACGAGGGGGTCGAGGTCCAGTCTCTCCCACTAAGTGGCTTCCTCAGGGCTCATAAAACCCGATCTCGGCCCCGCGCTCCAGATGGCTGTTGCTTCCACCCGGGCAGGGCCTCCGACCCCGGAGCTGGCCCTCGGAACAACCGCTTCTCTATGTTTAGGTTGTGGCAAACCTGATGGCTTTTGCTGTTCTCCTCAGCTGTCTTCTTTGTATTTCCAATTGTAGGGAATACGAGTTCATTTTTGTTCCTTTCCAGTCATATCAAGAGTGTTCCTCCTTGGGCTCAAAAGCTGATGAAGTGCTCTTGCTTTGTGCATGGTATCTTGGTCCTTGCAGTGGGTGACGAGACTCCCCCCCCGCCGTCCCATGGAGCCCCGAGAGGGTCTGAGGAGGGAGGCACTGTGTCTGAACATCCCCAAAGTTACCCTTAGCTCACTCTTACCACCTTGACAAAATCTGAACAAACCAGAAACCATAAAGTGGTAAATAGTGACATCACAGGCAAATAGGAACTTGAAAGTCTGAGCAGAAAGCAAGCCCAAAGGAACAGTCCACGCCAAGACAGAGAGCCGAGGTGAAATAGCCATGTACCCAGCGGGGCGTCAGCGGTGTAGCTGGGGGGACGCCTGGGGACACAGGCAGGAGGAGACTCTGTTATCCGAAGAATATTTTAAAGTCATGTATTCAAAGGAATTTTTTAATGATTTCCCAAAGTCTGAGAAAGAAAACAGGACAGCCGAGAAGTCCAATCTTTTACAAATGATCAGGGTTAGCCCGCCAAGAGTTTCCAACATGCAGGGAGGATGAAGGACGCGCGAGCCTGGTTCTGTGCACTGTTGGCAGGGGGCCCAGTCCACCAGGACGTGGCTGTGATCATCTTCGGCGGTCTGAGCGAGCGAAGGCCCTGAAGACAAGAGAGGAGAGCGGGCGCGCTCACAGGACGCCCCCGGAGCTGCTTCCCCGGATGCGGGTCCTGAGGGTACATCTTACTCTGCGCCACACCCCATCTCTGCAAGGTGCCTGGCCATCTCCGCTACCTGGGCAGAGGGGCTTGGAGAAGACGGCTGAGAGGGAGCATTGGAGAAGACGGCTGAGAGGGAGCATTGGAGAAGACGGCTGAGAGGGAGCAGTGGAGAAGACGGCTGAGAGGGAGCAGTGGAGAAGATGGCTGAGAGGGAGCATTGGAGAAGACGGCTGAGAGGGAGCAGTGGAGAAGATGGCTGAGAGGGAGCATTGGAGAAGACGGCTGAGAGGGGCTTGGAGAAGACGGCTGAGGGGGAGCAGTGCCCTTGGGCCACACAGACTCCATGTCCTGGATCGGGCTGCGCGGGTGGGGCCGTGCTGAGGCTCGTCCCTCCGAGGGGTCTCCTGTTGCCTGGGAGGTGGCTCAGGCCTTGGGGATGAGGCTGCAGGATCAGTGTCCAGGGAAGAGCAGGTCCCTCACAGAGGTGTGGAGCTGGTGGTGGTAGGAAGTGGGGACCAGGTCACCACCTGCCCTCTGGGGTTGGGAATAAGGTCAAGAGGGCGGGAGTGCAAGGGCGCCTTGAGTCTTAAGGGACTAGTTTCCTTTCAAGCCTTTCAAGGCTTGCCCTGTGTGGATTACAGATGGAAGAACCCTAGAAAAGCTTGTTGCCAAGAGTCATGTGTAAAAGGAGAGCCGTGACACTGGTCATGTTACGAACACTAGGCCGTAAGTGTTTGGAGCTGTCTGCTGGGGTTCCTGGAACCCCTGAGCGCCCAGAGGGCGTGGAGGGAGTTCTCGTCCTGAGGTCAGTGCAGGGCATGGGCGACGTGGCAGCCTCGCCACTAGCCCAGTTGCACCAAAGTGGAAAGAGGTTGGTTTTAAGTTGCAAAATGAGTTAAGAATAGGCAAATCCCCAGCAATTTTGTCTGGCCAAATTATACTTTTAGACTCATGCCTATAACTTTATATTTTAAAAGCTCACATTATTTTATAATCTCCTGGAAATACATCATCTTGCTATTTGTTTTTAAAACCTCATCTGGAACTTTTCATAGTGTTTAAACACCTCCCCCAGACCACTTTGGATAAATAAAGTAATATCATGCCGTTAAGACCAACGACTGAATCGTCTTTAAACACCTCCTTAAGAAGCAGTTTTTAGGGTAGGAGGGTTTCACTGCTGTCTCCTGAAGAGTGAGGCCAGGCTGCCGTGGGCTCCAGAGTGCACGTTGCTGCAGGCCTCAGAGGCTCCTGGTGTCACCCCAGGCTGGGGAGGCAGACGCTGGGCTCCAGGATGGGGTCACAGAGCTGAGGGTGTGTAGATGGGATACAGCCCAAACCCAAGTCTCCTGAGGCCAAAGCACCACGGCCTCTGCCCTCCTCAAAAAGGGCAGGGGTGTGGGCTGCCCCCATCCCCGCCACCGCCTGGGCACATGGCCCCTGCTTATTTACGTCACCAGCCCAGCCTCCAGGTGATCTTTGTGGTGGAATCACATTCTCTCCCATAGACAATTGTACAGAACCCACATGTTCCTTTCTTCTTTGTTTCTCCTCCATGGTCACTGGTGCTGTGAGAGGTGGGAATGACTCTTGTGCTGGCCCCCAGGCCTGGGAGTGTCATGGACGGTGTCCCAGCAGCTGCGACCTGCCCTAGGACACCCCACCTCCGCCCGCCATCCCCTTAGCCCCACGGCCCTGGCCATCCTTTCATCCACCTTGTCGCTCGGCGGCACCAAATACCTGCAGGACCTCAGCGCTGGCTATTCCCAGCCACTGTCCCCATGGAGGGCATCTGCACTGAAAGCCTCCGGATCAGCACGCTGGTTCTGTCCTTCACCCCAAGGTGTGCCTCCGGGACGTTTCCTCATCGCCATCGACAGAGAGAAGGGATGAGACGCACGTAAGTTCTGTACACCTTTAAAGATGGGCGGCCCCCTGCAGTCCTATAGATCCGAGCATCGGGGCAGCTCTAAGCCAAAGCTTGAAGAGGTTAATCCCACGTGATCCTCTTGACCAGCCCACGGAGCCCACATCTTCAAAGACCTTTTAAAGGAGAGCTGTGCCCAGCCTCCCAGGGCCTCGGCGAGGGTGAACACACCAAGCGCTCAGGACACCCCTGGACGCCAGCACCTCGGTCACATGCGTTTCTTCATGTCAGGAACCTCCCTGAGGCCACACAGCGGTCAGCAGCCAAGTCAGGCCAGCTCCCCCGCATGCCAGAGCCCAGAACAGGAAGCGCCAGATTTCAGGCTCTGGTGTCCTTGTCCTTTTTATTTTTCACCTGAAAACTTTGGGTCTTGTGAACAATGGATGATAAAAATAGCCCACGTATTTCCTTTCTATAGGAATATCTGTATCCTTCCAGTGGCTGGGAATTGGTGTAGCAACATGGTCAGATCACCAGTGCTGTGGTCCGGCGACCTGAGGTCAGATCTAGGCTCTGCTGGTTCATCTCATCACCTGCCTTGGAGTCAATTTATTCATCTGTAAAACTGACATAATGGCTGTTCTGGGCAGTTCAGATAACATAACTGCCCCAGGGCACTCAGACAAGGTCAGGCACACAGTCGTTGTTGTTTTGTCGCTCAGTCCTGTTCAACTCTGGGAGACCTCATGGACTCTAGCCCTGCAGGCTCCTCCATCCATGGGATTCTCCACGCAAGAATACTGGAGTGGGTTGCCATGCCCTCCTCCAGGGGATCTTCCTGATCCAGGGATCAAACCCACGTCTCCCACATTGGCCGGGGGATTCTTTACCACTGAGCCACCAAGAAAGTCCCAGGTACACAGTAGGTGCTCCGTAAATGTTGGCTACACATACTTGTTTTCAACTGAACTTTGCAAAGATCACCCTCTGTGTACTGTTCCAGATGCCCAGTGAAAATACTGCCTTTTAACACTATTTGGTGATGCTGACCTAACAGGACCCTTTCTGCACCAGGTAAGAACGACTGTATACATCAGCCAAGTTTCTGTTGCTCCATCAGCAGCCACGCCTCTGCGGGGACTTTCCTTGGGGTCATGTCTGCCCGATGCTCCCTACTTGTCATCTGGCAGAGGTTCCAGCTGAGAGAAGACAGCAACAGGCACAGAGACAAATGCGTATAATTTCAGACGTTTCTGAAGTGAGAAATCGCAGCCACAGAGGAAAAGACCACTGTGTTCCAGAAAATGAAATTTGGTGTCAAAACGTATTCTGATGAGGCTATTGAGTTTCAAAGAAAAAGAAAGAGCATTTCACATGTCCATCCACATCTTAGGAGAAGGCGATGAGCAGGCTGGCCTCCGGGGTTGGTGCCTCAACTCCGACACCGAACGCTGGAATCTGCAGCTTTGGTCCAGCCGTGTTTCTCCTCCAGCACAAAGACACTGCCAGCAGATGACAGCTCCACATCTACGCCGGGTCCAGGGCAACATGGATGTGGGGCACACAGCCTTCCTCCTGAGCACCCCAGGGCCGCCACCTCCTTCTCCACCAACCCCGCTTCCCTGCAGGGACCCCAGACTCTGCCCCTCCTCAGGGCTGCCCCAATTCTCCCCTTCCCATCCCACACCCCTAAGACTGCTGTGAGCAGGTGGTGAGAATTTGGAAAAGCTTCTAAAACAAGCAGAAGAGGAAGAAAATAGAAATTAAAAATCAAACTGCTCTGAAAGCCCATAGCAGACAAGCAGTCACCATGACACAATTGAAGGAATGAACAAATGGATGGACAAAGAACAGATAGTGTCACTAAGTCTTTCCTGATTCGTGGACACACAATGTGCATTTTTTAAAATGTCATCTTTTCTGCTTCTAATTAGTTGTGCATAGTTTAATGACTATCGCATTGCATCATATACAGCGGATACTTTCTGGGCAAAGTCTTCATGGGAGCAAAAGAAAACCCTGAGGCCAATAAATCAGTGTATACTTGATACAAACTATGAAAGCAAAGCCTTTGCTGTCCTTGTCAGCCAGCACGAAGGGTCAGTTCTCGTAGGGTCAGAGCCTCGGAGAGCGTGGCCCTGCCTCACGCTGGCCCCGTGCCCGCAGACCCTCACGCCCACTGGAGGCAAGGGCTGCTGCTTTATTTCTCAGACTCTCCTCCCTGCCAGCGAGGAAGACGAGCACGGCAGGAGGATGCCAGCTCCCCCAGAATTAGGATCATGTGAGCGGCTTTCAGAGACACTGACTCCCTGTCATTTAATTACAGCAGAAATGAAGACTTGAGCACTTGAGAATCTTGGGCATTTTAGCCAACAGATTTATCTCACAGAAGATGATTTCCCAAGCAGCAAACGCCTGCTTGTTCTAGAAAGAATGTGTCCCGTGGAGACAGGACAGCATGTGGTCTTCAGAGCATTTTCGTCGCACCAGCCCTGCGCTCAGCACCGCACTCAGGGTGACACGCAGCCTGGTGGGTGGGGGTCGGGAAGCAAGGTTCCCAGCCCTGCAGGAGAAGTGCTCAGGCCCTGTGAACAAAGGGTGTTTTGTATCACTTTCTGGGCAATTTCTCAACAGTCTCACCTACAGGTGGAGATTGTCTTTAACTGACAGTGTTGTTGGCAACACAGACTGTTTTTGATAAACTGCACCAGGAAACCCCCACGGAGAGGAAGGGGGCACTGCGGACAGACCCACGCCAGCGACACAGGACGGGTCACGTGTACCCACAGGTGTGCATGTGACACCTCTCCCTGACGCCGGCGTCACAGTGACTAACGCAGGGATGCCCTGATGCAAACGGCCCCCTTGTTCACCCATCTGCTCAGCCCCCAAACACCTCCCCTTCACCGTGGACGGCAGGCTCTCTGCTGGGTCTGTCAGCTCATGGGCGTGACCAGCTGCACGCCCAGCGTCTCTGCAGTGACTGTCTGAGGTTCTCTGCACCCCACCCGGGGCCCCGACATAACCTGGGGGTCAGCGATCATGCTGGACTTTGGGCTCCTAAACAAGAATAAATCCACACATCTTCCATCCATTGGTGGTTAAAGTTTAGTCTCAAAACAGATCTCTTTCTACAGCCGACAGGGAACACAGACACTGGGTTCCTGCCTCAAAAATGGAGAAGAGGTGAGTACAGTCTCCTTACTTTTGGGAGAAACTCACTGGCTGTGTGACCCAGAGCGGTTTTGGGGAACAGGATGCCTGCCTGCTGGCTGGGACGCCTGGGCGAGCGTGGTCCCTGCTGAGTGGACGCGGATATGGCCCCCCTTGCTCTGCTCATGCCTCTGTGAGACCCGCACGCCTGTGTGTGCACGTTTGACCTGACCTCACAAGAACCTGGAGTCCAAGGGCCGCCTCACTTGTTCTCAGGAGACAGTGCGCTGGGACTCCGCCCACTGCAGGCTCTGGGGGCGGGGCTTGGGGACTTAGCTCTGACCCACCCCCCAGGGGGCGGGGCCTCTGGGGAGGGGGCGGTCCTCTCCCCGGCGCCCGTCAGTCACAGATGTCGGCAAACGAAGACCTGGGTCCCGGGGCTTCAGGGCCCTGACTGGTCTAGGAGCCCCTGGGTCCCAGCCAGACAGGCCAGCGCCGTCCTTCTGTTGAGGCCAAAAGCAGTTTAAACCTGGTGTTTGCTGAGTCTTAGTGACCTTTCTCTGTGCAAACAGCATAATAGTATTTTGAAATTTATTTGAAAGGGGATGATAGGAGTAGTGATTTTATACATATTTGTAAGATAGGAAAGGTTGTACCTATTTGCAGTGAATCAGGAGAAATGAGAGAAGTTCAGTGCATCCTGAGATCTCCTCTGCTGACCTCTCGGGATTTGGGAATTTTCGTTCGAGGCTGTTCCACCAGGTGTAAGTAGCCTGGGGCTGACTGATGGCTCATGGAAAACATGGACATTCAGAGACACTCCATTGCTGATGACATACAGAAAGATTTCTTGTTGCACGCAGTCCTATGCATGATGCATAGGTGTTTTATTAGGTTAATCTCAGAGCCTGCAGCTGGGCTGAGGTCTCGAGCCTTCAGTCAGGCATTGGGTACAAAAAGCTGAGGAGGAGGAGACAGGTTAGAAGCAGGAGACTGGGGTGTCTTGGGTCCACCTCTCACATGGGTGGGATCAGACGAGCCCTGAACCAACCCGAGCATCCCTGTGGGAACGTGAAATAGACTTACTTGACAGAATTTCCAAAGCTGCATCACACAGTTGTGTTGGGGTGACGTAAGATAGGCGAAAGAAGTTATAATTCCTCCCGTGTGGCTCATGCCTGGGGCTCTTGTCCACGCTCCTGATGCTGCTCTCTAGTGCCCACAGGACACCTATGGTTCCTGCTGGCTCCAAGCCCAAACCAGGCAGATGACCTCTTAGTGAGAGCTGACCTTTCTTCCCCTTTTCGCAAGGAAATGCAGTGTGATAGCCACTTCCCGCAGGCTGTGAGCGGAGGCGGGAGGAGGCAGCATCTTCACAGATGTGGCAGGCTTGACCTTGCCTGTCTTCCCATGAAAATAAAATTCATAAATAGTGAGAGTAAAGCAAAGCCACAGCGACACATGTCCCACAAAAGCAGCACATTGTTCACATGAGAGAATCCATCTCAGGAGATGCTGTCGATGACATTATCCTTCACTTAAACCAAGCTGCTTATTTCTTCTGATGCTAAACCTCTTAAGCGGGGCTCCCATCACCTGGCGATGAGCGAAGTCTAGACTTCATGGCCACCTACCTTCAGTGTCGCTCACTTCACCCTCCTCACTCCCGTAGACACCAGAAGTGCTTCTGTGGTTGGAGTGAAGGTGATTTCACCTCACCCTCCTCACTCCTGCAGATGCATACCTGTAGACTCCAGAAGTGCTTCCGTGGTTGGAGGGGAATAATTTGTTAAAAGCAGAGCCTGTGGTTCGTCCACCGAGATGCTTTCCCCTTTCTGGAGTGTTGTCTGGGCAGTAAGCTTCTTGCTGGCTGCCCTGGATATCATCTTATGCATTAATCTATGGGCTACTTTCATGCATATGCTTCCTGGATTGATTTTATTTTTGTAGGAAAGTTGACAGGGAATCACAGAAAAGTTGAAATGTTTCACGGATTCTGTCCTCTATCCTTCCCTCTTGCTGTAAAATGTGATTTCTCCTTGGAAAATACCTCCTAAAATGTAAACATTTGCTTGGCAAGAGGGTGGAATCTTCTGTCAGTGTGGCCCAGAATATTCCTGTGGGTACAAGCCCTTAATTTTATTCTGAAGACCGTCCTTAACAGGTTTTCAAGCTCCCAGAATTAATAGTCCTGGGATATCATTCAACAGAACAAACTTCTAATGAGAGATGAGGGTAGTCAGCACACGCCCACAGTGGCAGCCTGTGAATGAGATCTCTCCATCTTTCCTCAGGGACATGAGAGACAGAAACCCAGTTCTGACAGGTCCTCTCTCCACTGCCTGGCTGGTTTGTCTGCTTTCCTCTTCTCTGCTTGCCAGGTGCAGGGTTAACAGCTCACCTGGCAAGCTGTTAGCAACAGTCAGCAAGTCCCTGTGAGGACCAGCCCGAGCTCACTTCCTCCCGCCATCCCCATGTCCTGCTCCAGGGTTGCTGGGACGCCTTGAGGGGACCGTCCCTGCCGGAGGAGGCATCCAGGGAGCCCAGCCTGGGGGCAGAGGAGACCCAGGCAGACAGGAACCCGCCTCTGGCCCCGTGGGTCACCCGGGTGCAGCTCCTGTTCACCTCACCGTAGACCCAGGGATGTCCCCCATACTGGGAAGGAGGGGGACGTCTAGAGGTCAGGCAGATGGGGCAGGGGGCTGGCTACTCCCCTGCAGGGCAGAGTTTTCAGACCGGCTTCCACCAGAAAGGTGCCTCGGCCTGTTGGTTCCCGCATCAGTCTGGCCAGCTCTTCCCTGGGGTAGGGGTGAGGACCTTTCCCTGGGGTATAAGTACCAGGTCAGCCCTGTCCATCCAGGTGGCCCAAGGGAGTCTGGGGAGGGACAGGCTGGGTGGGAAGGGGGTCCCCTTTCTCCCTGGTACCCCCACAGGCCCCTCCCCTGCACGGCCCCCACTATCTACACCCCCAGCCCAGCAGCACCTTCTGCAAAGCTGCTTTCTTCACACCTTCGAGGTGGGTGGGGGGCTCCCACAAGCCAAGCCCCCAGCCTGGAGGAGGGCCCAGGGGCCCATCCCTCTGTGGCCAGGAAGAGCTCCAGCTCCAGGGCGCTCCGTCCTGCCTGGGGGCCACAGGGCCCTTGCACATCCCCGTGCCCCTTTCCTCAACCCCTCCTGCCTGGCCCCTCGGTGCTGACGTCCCCCAGCTCTGGTGACCACCGGCCTGTCCATCCCTCCAACAGGACCCTCACTGCCTTGCAGCTGCCCCTCGGGGTTCCTTGGGGCTCCAGACTCTTCCCTTTCTTCCTGGACCTGAGTGTGCAAGGGGCCCCTCCGGGCTGTGGCCGCCTGACTATCACACTGGGAGTCGGTCG